GAATGAAGCATACAATCCTTAGAACAGGGCACCAATGTGAATATTATTTTATCAGAAATTATCAGAAAAAGGAACAGTGATAAAAATAAGAGAAGAACTTGTTGTGAGCAGACCTGTGGGATATGGTCCATCTACATCTGTTAGGTGCTCATCAGCTGAAACTGAATTTCTTAACTTTCATCCTACATGATACGCATTTGACTCCCAAGATGCTTTAGTTTGCCTTCCATGCTGATCCCTCAGAAGTCATAGTTTGGGATTACAGCAGGGCTGTGCTGGATGGGCAGCTGCTTCTAAATCTTTCTCACAAGAGGGGTTTCCCAGGGTCAAAAGCTTGCCATGAGCCTTTGCTTCTGTCTGCAGCTGGAGGTCACGGGAAGCCCTGAAAGTGTAGTAGATGTGAGGCAAGCAGCTGCCCAAATTATACATCACATCTTTCTGGAGACTTGCTGGAGCTGAAGAGCTAATAGAAATTTGGGATGTGGAGGAGAAGTGCTATGCCTGTTGGTGGGGCCTTGAAGAGCCAGTTGCCAAAAAGCAACACAGAGGGCACGCGATGCATGACCCAGTCTGGGCTGGGTTTAGTATGCAATGCTAGCCAGAGAGGCCAGAGGTGAGCAGGGTATCTGAAGTAAATTGGAAGCGTTAAATGACACGAGCAATTATGCATTTCACATCTTAACTCCTGTTTCAGTGGCAGTTTAAGACCTTAAATAGGTGTCAGAAACAGAAATACTATCTTAATTATCTCAAATTCAAAAAGTCTGGTGGATACACAACTAAAGATTTTTACTGGAGATGACTGAAGTAAAGCTTCACATCCAAGCTTTTAAAACTCTTCAAGCTACATCTGAAAGCTGGAATGTGGCTTCTGTTTTGAATAATTCCCTTCCCTTCCAATAAACCCCAAGCCTGTGGTCCAATAATCTGTTACAACAGGGCCCTTTGCTAGTTAACAGAAGAGTTTCTAGTGCTCCATGGATCCTTGCTGTCATATAGTTTTAGGGCTGATGTGAATAGGCGTGACTGTTACGATTCACTAAGACTGTGATTTACTGTAAGGTTAAAATGCAGTGAATGTCTCCATGTAAATTAGCTATCAATATATCCTGTAGTGCAATTCAGTGCAATTTCATAGATGAAGGCAGATACGAGTTCAAGCAAAATCTAATCTGATTATAAGATTTTGTTTAACCGCTTCAGTGCTCCTATGGATGGTGTATGTCTGTGCTCTGTTGAAATTAATTGGACAGTCTCACATATCAACAATTCTGGGACTAAAAGAACACAATTGAGTTGAATGCCATAGTGGAAAAGCATTAATGGCAATTAGCATTTTAGTCTGACTGCTATAACATAAGACCATTGATTGGTGGTCTGATAACTACAGCATTCAAACCCCAAAGACGTTCTGCACCTGTTGATCTTAGGACAATGGAAGCCCTTAGTAATTCCAGCCTGATGCCAAAACACAAGAACTACAGTGTGTGCAAGCAGCATTCAGCAGAGAGCAGCGCTGCTCAGCAGCAAGGCAAGGCCTTGACTCCAGAGGTGACACTCTGGTTTCAGTGGTGTAAGCAAATACAACAAAGCACTATGGTGTGCTCATAGACTTGAAACTGGAGGAAAGAAAAATCATTGTGAAGGCCAGAATTATAAACCTGGTATAAGTGCTGTAATGGGGGCACTGACAATGTAATTAGATGCTGGACAACTGGGCTAACATTTTGTTCATGTAGTGTTTTCACTTCAGAGCCATTTATTTAAGTATAATGTTAAACAAAGAAGTGTACTTTTGCCTTCCTGCAGTCTAGTATTGGTCAACAAACTACTTCCTGTCACAATGCTACTATAGTATTCATTCTGACTTCTTACTTGCAGTCATATTTAACACATCTAATTTATAGACTGAAAATTCCTCTTTGACTAAGTTTCTTAAAAAACAAAATTCCTTTTTCAATTAAATAAAGTGAAATTTGCATTTTTCTTTATTTATTTTATAATGCTTTTCTGATAGAAAATCCAGGTAGTATTTATTTTTCTATTTTGTATTCTGAATGTGACAGATGATAGACATAGTGATGGAGATGATCTCTGGATTTTTTAACACGAACCACCTTTTTTTTCCATGATGGAAATAGGTGAAAAACAAGATGCTCCTTGGCATTTATGTTGATCGTGGGTTAGAAAGGTTAAGAGTGAATTTATTGCTTTGCAAAGAAGTTTGAAGTCTAGATATGCAAGACCATAAGGAATACAGGTATGATTACAGGTGCTTGTGGTGCACAGAGATACTTTAGGGTGGTTTATTATAATACCTTTTAATGTTATTATTTTTCCTTGGTAGGATAGAGAAAAAGACAGCATCTTTATATGTACAGCCAATAACAGGAGGTTTTTACATCACCTGTCTTAAATCCGCAAGTCTTTGCATTGTTAGAATTACTTTTATGAAAACTGAAGGTTCTGTAAACAAGTAGATAAAAACCAGTACAAATGGGCTTTGCTGTATGTTTGGCAATAGTTAAATTTCCAATTTTGGAAAAAAAAAAAGCATGCAAAAAGCATATTCAGTTCTACTTCTTTTACTCTGAAAAGCTGTTTGTCTGAAACAAAGTAGATCACCAGGCTTCTATTGTCCCGGTTCAGTGCACGTCGCCTGAGCTTTTCAGCATGTTACATTATATGTCTTCATCCTTGGCATAACTGCTTAGTTGTGTCTTTTTTTTTCTCTTCCATCTTTTTCCGTGCTTCTGACAGTCAGCATGGCATGCAGAGCCTCCCTTCTTGCGTCACTGTGCGCCATGTATCTACTTGTCATTTGCAATCTTCATTTTGTTCCCAGCTTGTCTGCCCAGAATCATGTTTCTTTGAATGCCTTAATTTTACATGTTCACTCAGTGTTCACTGACTCTTCTGCATTTATTCTCATGTGAGCTAAGAGCTCTTAATTTTATCCTGTATGTCCTTTTGCCTTCATATCCATTCATCTGTGGTCTCCTTCCTTTTTCCATTTATTATGATTTAAATCACTCTGTTAATGTCCACCACCTGCTGGCAATAAACTGTACAGCAAGAAGGCTGAGAAGAACATTGTTTATAATTTAAGCCTGGATCAGAGTCCAGACTTGATTGGGAATTTATCTTCTGTTCAAACTGCAACACCCCTAGTTGGGAGCATAGGGCTGGACAAGAGTTGCACTGGCTGTCTTTCATGTGCAGCTGATTTCAACTGTGAACAAGGCTCCACAGACAGAGTTGCAAAGCAACTACCTCCCTGACATCCTGAGCTAGTGGCCTGGAGCAGCCTGGTCTCCAAAGAGGAATAGCATCCAATGGCGGGTTTCTGTTTTGGGCTGCCAAATAGCAGAGAGAGCTTTAGCATAAGTATTACTTCAGAGGTAAAAGCAGAGGGTCAGTAGGTTTTTTGGACCAGACCCTGAACTAAGAACTTACTGTGGTATTCAGAACAGAGTGCAGTAACAGCCAGCCAGTTCAAATGGGTTTGAAAGGTGTACTCATTTTTATCTCTGAGGATGTTCAAATGCAAGATCCTTGACTGTGGAAGTTGGAACTGCACTCACTCTTACTTAGAGGTCTGTCTGCGTATTAGTAACTTGGACTGAACTGTAGTTAACTGTGCTAGATGCTGCATAAGCATGCATGAAAACATGGTTCTTGTTCCTGATTAATGCGCTGAAGATTAAATTGGAAGAGTGCTGTTTCAGTTCATTTTGTGAGCGTATGCAGAAAACATTGCTAAAGCATGTGAATTCTTTCAGCAGGTAAGTCTTTATTAGTTCACTGGTTTATGCCTTTCTAACTCAAAAAATACAGTATAAACTCTGGTGATGTATGCGAAACCTGAAGAGACTTTATTGTTTCTTCATTATTTGCTAAGTATTCAGATCTCAGAAAGTAATACCATCATGCCTAAGGTTGTTTCTAAGTCAAATGTGTAGTGATTGGCTGTAGTTATTTCTAAAATTGCCTGTCTTTAGGACTTTGGTTCAAGAAACCAGTCTGGTTTTGCAGGGAGTAGTCTTGTGCTTCTAAGCCATGCACATCAGCACTGAGCATGGTTGTTTCTGGCAAATTCTAATGCATTCCGAATTACAAAACAATCAACTATATTATTTCTAAAAATAGTTTCTTAGGGATAATCCTTTTTATTTCTTTGGAGATGAAATTTGTACAAAGTGTATTGTTCATTCATTGTTCAAAACATATAGGTACAATGAGCAGAAGATTCTCGAGTACAGAGATTGGTTCAAAGCAGAAGTCATTTGAGTTTATATAAACAACACATCAAAAGAGAAAAAAAAAAGTCATAAACCTCTGGGAAGTAGAGTTTCTGTGGTTTGCACAGCTGTTAACTGGGATGCAAGTGAGGTTGAGTGGCCTGAAGCCATTCCTCAGCTGCTGCTGCTGTCTTGGAAAGAGAGGAATGAATCTTTTCTTTATCCACCTTTGAGCAGTTTTGAGAGGGGCAGTGGCAGCACCATTTCCAGCTGAGCCTTACGTTCAGATTACTAACTGAAGAGAGATTTGGGTGTAGATTTCAAATGCATCTACACTGTTATGTATTCTGTTTTGACATCTCTTTATATGACACAGTTCTAATGCCATCTGATAGGCATAAAGAATACACCCTGCTTTATGGGTGTTTTCTCTAAGGCAGAACCTATTGTTTGCTTTCAACACAAGACTTAATGAAACTGATTTCATTTGAGGGTTTTTCTTTTTCTTTCTGAAACTGTAAATGAAAAAGCTGTGTCTTATATTCTGAATGTAGATAATTTTAAAACAAAATAAGTGACTTGATTTCTCCTATGTAGTTCAATGTTAGTGAAACATAAATTCATTGGAGTGATCCACAGAACAGACCACCAGGCCACCACACATCCCAAAGAAATGTTCCTTGAAGAGTCTGGAATGACCCCTGGAAATAGCCTGCACCACCAGTAAAGGCACAGGGACTCAAGGACTCTGAGATCTGCAGTAGGACACTCTATTGTTCAGTCCCGGTGCTGCTTGGCTGTTCCTTGACAGAACAGTAAATGGTTGCAACGTATTCCTAACATGGTAATCATGGAGGAATTCAACTTAACATTTTGATATGTATTAGATAAAAATAACCCAAATAGTTTGAAAGCTTAGGTTACCTGCTGACATGCAAGTACAGTGTTGGGAATTACAGATTTGGGAATCAAGGGAGGCATGGAAGGGAGCTGTTCTCATAGGGCCGGTGGATCATGGTTATTCAGAATGAATAGTTCACAAATTATTTTTGTTCTTGTTGTCTTAAATACTAATCAGTAAATATTACCCACTAAATCCTTAGAGCCTGGTCCTTAGTTAACAACAGACAGTATGAGGGGCTTGTGAAGTGTGTTCAGACAAGTTTACTTCTTGCTTGGCATATTCAAATGACAGTGTTTCAAGACAGGAAGAGTGAAATATTTCTGACAAATTGTGGAGAACTTACTGGCACTAAACAACTGCTCTAAGAGCTACTTTGAGGTCTGCATAGAGGTTAAGCTGCAAAACCCACAGAGAAAGAAGAAAAGTACCATAAACAAATTACTTGTTATGCTCTGTTCAGCTTTTGTAGAACCTGTGATAGCTTCATTTCTCTTCACACCATAGGCATCAAGGGTGTCTTTGCATCCTGCCACAGAGTGTTGCTATAGAGATGTATGGTGCAACACCTATTCTCAATCTCTTTCTTAGGGTCTCCCATACAGTCACTGCATGGGAAGGGCTTTTCATCTGTGGCAATGTAGTGACCAGCACAGTGAATCAGCATGGGCAAGGACAGCAGTTGCTATCCATGCCTTGCCTGTATGCCATTTTAATCCAGTGTTGTATTGTGAAAAGCAATAGGACAGAGTTTAACTGCTTCATGAACTGTTCTGTAAAAAAAGTAAGGGATAAGAGTAGATAATGCTGAGAGAGAAAAGTGAGGTGAGCATGATGACCTAGTGATACTGTATCAAACAGGAATGAGACTAACATGAGTATCTTGTCTTTTGGGAACAACTGAATACATTTTTTCTATTGCAGGGAGATGAAAATTATTTTGTTTGTTCAACTGTGTTGAATAGGTAATACAGTTCTTGGCTTGGCTGCGCTTTGGAAGTTGAAACATCCCAGCCCTTGTTTATGTTTACTCATAATAGTTGATGAAGTAAGCCAGGAAGCGAACCTCTCTTAGAAACTTCATTTTTCACATCCCAATCTATCATCCTTGGTCTGAGGTAAAACTACTTCAGACAACTCAGTGAAGCCAGGACTGGTCCCATAAATAGAATTTCTAGAGCAGACTGTCTGCATATGAACTAACTGCTTAAGTGTTACACTGATCTCTACAGCCATTTCTTTTATAAGACTTCATCTCTTATGGTTTAAGTCTCACAAAGAGGTGGTGTTTGCTTGGGTTTTTATCATTTTTACTGTCTTGGGAAATTGATACCAGGAAATAAAAATATGCCATGGATGAGTTTATGGTCCTTTAAAGAGCATCGAGGCTCTTTGGTCCAAAACTATTCATAGAACTATGGCACCACTCGGTTTTTGAACTGCTAGACACAGCCACAAGGTCCTGAGGTGCCTAGTTGGAATTACACTGGTTTATAAAATCATAGTATCATTTAGGTTGGAAAAGACCTTTAAGATCATCAAGTCCAACCATTAATGTAACACTGCCAAGTCACTAAACCATGTCCCTAGGTGTCTCATATACAGGTCTTTTAAATACCTCCAGGGACGGTGAGTCCAGCCCTGCCCTGGGCAGCCTGTTCCAATGCCTGAGCACCCTCTGGGGAAGGAATTGTTCCTCAGCTCCATCTAAACCTCCCCTAGTGCAGCTTGAGGCCGTTTCCTCTTGTCCTGTCCCTTGTTCCTTGGGAGCAGAGACCGACCCCACCTCACTACAACCTCCTGTCAGGCAGTTGTAGGGAGCGATCAGGTCCTCCCTGAGCCTTCTCTTCTCCAGACTGAACCCCCCAGGTCCCTCAGCCATTCCCCATCACACTTGTGCTCCAGGCCCTGCACCAGCTCAGTTGCCCTTCTCTGGCCCCCCTCCAGCACCTCAATGTCTCTCTTGTAGTGAGGGGCCCAGAGCTGAACACAGGATTCAAGAACAAAGTATTAAGAGAATTAGGGCTTTCCTTTGTCAGGCAGGAAGACATTTAATGACACTAGCTGTGAGTGTCGTTGGCTGGCAGTAGAGAGCTGCTTAGATCAACATACAACTTAAGTTTACAAGTAAAAAGTTGCTTTATTCTGCTTTGTAAATTTGAATTACAGAGCTACTTTTGGCTTTATTTAGTTGTCCAGAGTGGTTTTACTTCAGGTCTAGGATTATGGTTTGGGATGCGAGAAACTGATTTTTTGTCACTGTGATCAGATGGCATGGATATACCTTCACATGTTAAATAGTGCTGAATGGGAAGTGTGGGTCTGTTCAGTTCAAGACAGTATATTCAGCTGGGTACATGGGACAGTATTTGATTGTAATTTGTAGGCAGAACAGACAGTTTACTGTTACTGAATTGTGAAATTTCATGAGATGATTGTGAAAGTTGTGGGGGAATAGACTGTTTCAATTTTCACCAAACTTTTGTGCTGTGCATGCAGGAAGAAATGTTTTGTTTGGTTTCTTCCCCCACATTCAGATACTGTAAAATAGCCTCTTGACGTTTCTACTGTGTCATGGGAGCCCTGTTTATTTCCCACGGAGCAACTATCTGATCAACTGCTGTCCCTAGAGCCAATTTATTGCAGACATGCAGATCCTATCAAATGCTTTACCAGATGGATGGAAGTGGTATACCTATGCCTGTGGATAGAATCAAGCAGCTTGTGCTTTCCATTATTAGCAGAGGCCAAACTAAGCAGCTCTACATGCTCTCATTAGGTTTTTGTTTCGTGCAGTTCCGCAGCAAAAGACAGCTTCACTTGTGCAATGGAGAAAGGGAAAGAGTACAAGGAAATCAAATTAAAACTGGGGGCTCAGGGTTGCAATTTGTGGTCAAGACTACAGTTTATTGCTTAGCCTCTTTACTTCTCTGATATAGTTTACTGAATTAGAGAGTTATAAAATATATCACAGTATAACAATACTAAAATACAACATGTGAGCTAAGATGGAGATTTCCCGAGCCTCAGCGTGGGATCAACTATGTCCAGCTTAGACTTTTTAATAATCATCTTTTCATTAGAGCCCAAGTGAGTCTGTCTCTCATTCAGTTTGTTGCTTCTCTCAGATCTGGTGAAAACCAATTGTATCAAAGAAGACAAACTGTTGAAAGAAGATCCCAGCCATTCTGCTCATTGATTGAACTACGATGTTCTGCTGTGCAGTGGTAGCTACAACGTATTTGGACTATGTTGGGCTCTAGTGGTTGACATCCAAGATAGGCAATAGATACAATTTTAAGAAATGTTAGCTTAAAGCTCAGCATCACATAGGAAGCCTATGACAGATCTGTGTTGGAATATAGGTCTTCTTAGTCCCAGTGTATTGATATAACAGTAACAATTTCCTAGCAAGTGAAAGATACAATATACCACAGGTGCAAAATGACGAGAGAATCCTGACTGAAAGAGCAAGCCAAAGAAAGGGTTTATTTTTTAAGAGAACAAGGTTTCTTTTATTAATTCATCTACATGAGCAGATAGCACATTAACCTATAAATGTAATAAAGTAATCTTGGTTTAGAAGAGTGTATGTGATGCTGTTTAGTATTTTAAGAATGCCTTTGTCTAGGTCACAGTTGGGATTTGGTCTGAGGGAATTCACATAGTCATTTGGGATAAAAATGAATTAATTTGGTCAATGGTTTAGGTTTTGTACTTGAAAGGAGTGGCACATGTATCAAATCTGACACAACTGGGTATCTGCAAAGAATTATCATCTGAGGAAATTGTATGTGTGTTAAATTTGCTACTGTAACTAATCTTTTTCAGATAAGAGCTGCAGTTTGTTAGGTAGTAACGCTGAATAGATACATGGAGCCTCTGCTGTATCACTTGCAAAGGGGGAGATCAAATGGTACTGCTTTTATTTTGAGGGTTAGGAAAATTTCTATTGACTCTGCTGGGAAGACGATCCCAGGCCTTATAATCGCCTAACTGGTGGGTATACAATGAGAACGTAGCTATGTACATGAAGTCAGTGTTGTGGAACTGCTTTGAACACAAGCAGCATGTCATTTTATTATAGAGATTCTAGAGAAAACGGAAATAATTTGTGTCATTCTTGTCAAAAACACGGAGATAAAATCCAGTGTCCATTTTGTTCTTTTTTGTAATGAGGTTTTTGGCAGCACCTAGTGGGTTCCAGTGTGTTTTGCTTCAGGGAGTTTAAATGGAAGCTTCTTGACAGCTCTACTTTTCTATGGTGATTTTTGTTGTATTTCTGTTTATAATACAACAAAATTACTAATTTTTAGTAATAATCAAGGGATCCTCAGATCTGTTAGGAATCAGATGCTGTAGCAGCATCACTTTTATTAGCTGCAACCTCATTCTTCACTGCTGAAATTCTGAGGAAAGTTTCTTCTGTACTTGAAACTGTATCTAGAGCGAAGTTTCATGGCATTGGCCTGCTCTGGTACCACCTAACTCTGGAGGAGTCTCACGTCCATTAGGGCCTCAGGTTTTTGTTTGTCTTCCTTTGGAAACAAAGTTTACAGGATCTATTCTTTCCTAGTCTTTTCTTCCTGCACTCTCCTCCCTGCACGAACAAATTCAGGATGTTTGTGAAAGTAGGAGGCAATTCCTCTTCTGAAGGAAAGGCTCCATTAGAAGCTCTCCCCTTATTAGACATGGGAGAATTCACATGGAACAGCTTTTCATGCGGGTGGGACTTTGCGACGTTTCTTCCCCACATGGCTGCTTTGATGTCTAATGAGGGGTGTGTCACAGTACAGTGCTGTTAAAAAGTCATTCCCCAGCTTTACTGAAAGTCAGCGTTTGTTTGTTCTGATGTTCATACAACTGGTGCTTACCTCAGAGCTCCTCAGGCACGCAAGACTGGGCTAGAAATGTTGCTGACCACTGACCAACACTGTGTCTAC